TTCTGGTATTTTATAAATAATGATATTTTAAATCTTTTAGATGAATCTAAATACTCTCAATGATAATCCATTTTTTAAAATACATAAATATACTACCATTGAGAGAAACTGGGAAAATGGTACGCAAGATCTCTCTGTATTATTTCTTATAGTTGCATGTGAATCTTTAGTTGTCTCAAAATAAAAAGTTTAACTAAAATAAAATCCTGATCTTGGGGCACCTGGGTGGCTCAGTCGTTAAGTGTCAGCCTTCAGCTCAGGTCATGATCCCAGGGTCCTGGGATCGAGCCCCGCATCGGGCTCCCTGCTCCTCAGGGAAGCCTGCTTCTCCCTCTCCTACTCCCCCTGCTTGTGTTCCCTCTCTCGCTGTGTCTCTCTCTGTCAAATAAATAAATAAAATCTTTAAAAAAATAAAATCAAATCAAATCCTGATCTTGATTTAAAAATACATGAACAAGGGGTTCCTGGGTGGTGTAGTCGGTTAAGCATCCGACTCTTGGTTTCTGCTCAAGTTGTGATCCCAGGGTCGTGAGATTGAACCACTTGTCAGGTTCCACACCCAGCGCGAAGTCTGCTTGAGTTTCTCTCTCCCTCTGCCCCTCCCCCACTCACGGTCTCTCTCTAAATATAAATAAATCTTAAAAAAAAATACATGAACAAGGTCTTTAACAGAAATTTTACATCATTCCTTTTTCTCCTTTTATTCTACTTCTCCCACACAATTTTATTTTAAAGTAATATATTTTGTGTAATCTTATCATACAATCATAATTCTCTGTAACAAAAATATGTATGTAAGTTGGACTTCTTTAAATTTAATTTTCTATAACCCAAAACTTTATGCATTAAATCTTTTCCCATTTGAGTTATCATTGTTATTGTTTCTATACAGCTGATCAACATACATCATAAATATTGTTAAGTAATTATTAAACATAAGTAAAATTTAATTGAAAATGTATCTTAATGAGATGAATGAGGCTTTTAGAAATAGTTTAACAGATGAATTTTTTTTTATTAAAATGAGACAGAGTATCAAGTCTGTTTTGTGTTTTATTTCAGCTCTTCCATCCTCTAACCTTAGCTATAGAATATTTCCCAACACCAGTTTTTAACGAGAATTGTCCCTTTGTTTGGTACCAAGGAAGGTTTTATATCTTGGGATAGTCAACCTAGGATTGATTTTTTTTCCCCCTAAACCTTTCCTAGTATATTAGTTACAGAGCATTTCTAAGCAAAAGAGTAACAGGTTTAATTAATAGTCATTTGCTAAGTCTTAGCAAAGTCTTTTTTTTTTTTATATTTCTTAGAAGTATTGCATAATAAGGAGAGAGGCATATGCCTTTCTGATATAACCTAGGAGGGGAGTGATCAGAACAGAGGAAAATTTGAAAAGGACAATGGTGATGAGATAGTTACCACAGGAGTCTCTCCAGGTAGATCAGTTAAGGGAAAAAAAATGCATTTATTTACAAGTTGAGCTGAAAATTGATTCACTTAAAATTTTAATTTTTTTTCTAACTCAAGTTTTTCATACCTGCATATCCCTTTAAAGGTCTTTGTGTACCTCCACAGAGCACAAAGGTACACATTTCTTAGTTTGAGGAATTATATGTGTTTATATTTGTGTAAGTATTGGCTTACTCTATTTTGTATTTTCCTTCATTCAGTAAAGAATTTTTTCATTGTCTATTTACTGGCATACTATTTTTTTTCTGATTGAGAGTTTAATATATAAATTGAAATATTTATTGAATGTATCTCTCTGAGCTAGTCCCATAAAAGCATTTTTTTAATTCTACAAAAGAGGTGAAATAGTAGCTAATGGACTCTAGGTGCCTTGCTGTGAAGCTTGTTTGAAATACTCTTTTGATAGGAAAATGCAATCTTCATTGAAAGTGGTACAGATAACATTTTTAGGAGTATGCAAGGATCTGTTCTTCCTGTGGTTGATGAATGACAGCCATACTTAACACCACTCCTCTCTTCCATAAGGGTGTGTCCTCATATTTCAAAAGAATTTCAAAGAAAACCAGTGGGTTTTTTTTCCCCTTCAGATATACAATTGTATTTTCTGTCAATTTCAGAAAATTTGGAGTAGAGAGATAGACTTTCTGTCTTTTGCTAGGGATAATGTGGGATATCTTTGAAGATAGTATCTTGGTCGTAACTCTTGCTTATCCATAGAGAATGGATATGGTAATTTTATCACTCAAATTCAGCAAAGAGAGGGAGAGAGATAACTGGCTAAAAATTGTAAGAGAAAGGAAGATAAAGTGAGAAGATGTGAAAGAGCACTAACATTTGTTTAAGCTCTACTGTATTTGGTAATGGTTGAATTCATTTGCACGTTTTATTTAAGGTAAGTATGGTTATAGAGGGAAAGATTTCCTACAGAATGCTGTATTAACAGGGGAATGTAGACAGGAAAAGAGAATTAGATTTGTAAATTGTACATAATCTTGTTGGAGGCAAGAGATATGGAAAGATGTTGCTCCAGATGTTTCTCCATTTTGGACACTAGGTGGTGACATTGTATAAAGACAGCTTGGTTGCTGGCAGGTACTAGAGTCAGTCTTGGAGTGGGGATAACTTAGCAACTAAACTTAAGAGTATCACTTATTTTTCTTTTTTGTCTTAGTCACTTAGCTTTGTGGCACATTTGTGGTGATTTTACTGAATTTCTTTTTTATACTTAATTTACATTGTATATTGTACCCATAAGCAGCATTTTGTAAGTCCTCTATGTGCCTGACGTATTTAATGGTGATAAACAACAGATGATGAACTGGTATTCAGATGAAAAAAACGCCCCTGCCCTCCAAAATATTCATATGCCCAAATAAAAATAATTTATATAAGTGATGCATAATACACATTGAAAATATGAAATATATTAAATAAAAATTTAAGTAAGTTTGTACTGTATTTATTCTTTCACTGGTTAAGGCCTAAGTATATATACACATTTGGGATTCAGGAAGAAAGACCTCATAGATTGAGAAGGGTCCTCCCCATCTATGAATAACCCTTACTCATTACTGGGTAAGGGTAACCTGTATCCAAAGGATCCTCTTTACCTTCCTTTCTGTGCCCCACCACCAATTCTCCATTGATTTCAAGTTCAAAACAACTGGGGAATAGTGCATTTTTTGTTACAATTCAAAATGATACAGTCCTTTCTCTTGCAGTTAGAGTTGCTGCCTCTTAAATTAGAGGGGCCTTTCTTACTGGATCGGATGAAAATAAAGGGTCCCTATTATTCCCAAGTCAGAATTTTTAATACACTTCCACAGAAACAGTGTTTTTTGTGAGAGTTAGGTATAGCTAAAGTGGTATTACATACAGCCTTAATTTTAAAAGTCATACTTGTCCATTCTCAGACTTCTCTGTTTTCTTTCGGAGTAAGTGATCTGGAAGAGCATTTTCTCCTCAGCAAAATGACCTTTTCACATTCCTTTTAAACCTGTTTCTTCTTGGAAGTCTACCTCATTTTTTCCAGCTGAACTCTGTACTCTTATAGGCCTTTTTAAAGATCCATCTTTACTTTATGTTAATCATATATATTTTTTTCTCATCCCAACTGTACTGTACATGTATTGAACATAAAGTTTCTTGTTTATCCTTACATCATCAACAGAATCTTGCCCAGTGTCTTGCATGTGTAGGTGCTCAATTAAATACACCACACGCATAAGGAAAGCTTAGATGGTTAATGCCAAAGTGGGGTGTTTTAAGTTAATTACCTCTGAGTGAAAATAGCTTTTTATAAGGTATAAGGTATTTAAATTGGCTTTTAAGATAGAAGGACTCCTAAGGCCAATAGCTTTCATTTCTGATGAATGGAAGCTATGGCCCTGCAGGTTATAAAACATACTAGTATAATTTTTGGAACTCAAATTGCATTCTTTTATGCCTGTCCAGAAGATGTAGTCCACATATAGAACGGTTTCTTTGATAATATTCCAAATTACTGATTTTTTTGGGAATTACTGTTTTTTTTGAGACTCTTCATTGAAGCTCCCATACTCCCACATACACGCAACACACTCAGAAAAATGCACACACATTTACACAATTCTGTATACTATTTTTGAGAACTCATAGACCTCATGTTAAGAACTTCTGCATTAGATTCTAGAATAGACTAGCTGACTAGTCGAGATGTGGCTTGATATGATAGAAAAATGTACTATATACAAAATCAGTTGATCTGAGTGAGTTCTAGCTCTTGTTTTACCTGTGATAAATGTGATGCCATTTGGCAGGTCATATAATCTCTTTACCTGTTTCTTTGTGAAGTTCTTGGAAAAGTGTGAATGAATGTAGTCCACCAATATACTTAGAATAGTGCTGGGTATAATATGCTTCCCAGTTTTTGTTCCTGGTCTTTGTTTCTAATATTTCGTGAAAGATTTCTGAATTTTGTGATGCTCTGTCTTTCCCTTAAGAAAATTGCTTTCTGTTTTTAAGAAAATTACATTAGTGTATATGTGTATGTATGTATATATGTGTGTGTACACACACACACACACACACTATTTTAAACTTGGGTAGCAATCAACTTATTATGTTATCCTGTAAGACAAGTAGTAAGCTGTGCCCTGATCTTTTGAAACCTCTGTATAGACAATAGCAAATAACCTCGTTATTGCAGTGCTGCTATTGAAAATTGAGTCAGGACATCTGTGCCTGTCAGTGTGTAAAAGGAACTGGGGAGAGGAAGAGGGCTGAGAAAATCTACTCAAGGTGTTATATCAGTGTACCAGTGAAACTTGTTAAAGCAGATGAAGCTTTTCCCTATTATAGTTGCTAAGAACTTTAGTCTTTAGAGATTGGATATATTATGTCTTATGGAAAATCCATTATTGTTCATGTAAAATTCTTTATGAAAACAAATTCCATTGATGTTTGTTAGCAGTAAACGGGTTGTGTTAAAAATATGTAACTTTTATGTATTACCTAGTAAGACAAACACTTTTTATTTTTACTCTAATTAGGGAAGAAGACAAAAACATATTTGATTACTGCAGGGAAAACAACATTGACCATGTAACCAAAGTCATCAAATCGAAAAATGTGGATGTGAATATGAAAGATGAAGAGGTATGGAAAACATGCCTTGTTAATTATTTTCTTATGCTTTGTTATTCTGCCCCAGTGCTTTTTTTCAAAATGGCCTATGAACTACAGCTCAAAGTATAGTATGGTTAAGATTGTATCAGAATATCTATATGAGATAGTGTTACCCAGTTAAGATACTTTTTATGTATGTATCCATCCATCTGTTTATGTTGTGTAAATTACTAGCTGAAACTTGCTGCAGTGGAATAACTTCTGTTTCTTCACAATAAAGGGAGAGACTGTTAACCTAATAAGTGAAATCTATAGGTAATATGAAAATATTTATAAATAGTTTTAGTGTCTTCTTTCATTATACTTTAAACAGGTATATTGTCCTTTGCTCAGTGAATATATTTCTAGAAAACAATGTGTCAGAATTTTGATAAATCCATTCTTTTTCTTTTTTTTAAGAGAGGAAGAGAGAGAGATAGGGTAGGGCTGGGAGGGGCAGAGGGGGAGACTCTCAAGCAAGCTCCACACCCAGCACGGAGCCTGATGTGGGGCTAGATCTCACAACCCTGAGATCATGACCTGAGCTGAAATTAAGAGTCGTCCCAATTGAGCCACCCGGTCACCCTGGTAAATCCATTCATTTAAATGTGGACCTGCTACGTAAAGGGATTCTATACTAAATTATTTTGTAAAATATATTACTTTTTATTTTATTTGTTTTGTGAATAAAACTGTTCACATTTTGAGCTTAAACTGTCCCTGAATTATAGTTGTTAAATAGGGAGCAAAATTTACTAATTCAGTTTTACTCATTTTACTCATTCTTTGATAATGCAGTGAAAGATGATCAAAATGACTGAAAGGTGGCAATTGTTAGGAAGAAGACATGCAGTGATCATAGATAATGTGTGGAGTAGATAAATAATCAATGTACATATTGATAGCTCTTTATACAGGTTAACCCTTAATATTATCTGATTGTTAGGCAGTGTCTTTCCTGTAATACATTGTCAATGACATCTGGAAAGACTATAATTCGGTAGTATAGGGGGACCAGTAATAGTGTTTGTTCTCCCCTAAGTAATGAAACAAACAGCTAAGAAAGATGTAGCTAGAGAATAGTAGAAGCCAGATTGGGAAATAATAAAACCAGGTCTTTTGATCCAACTAGGGTGTTTTTTTGCCTTTCAGGATTAGAATACATTTCCCGCCCCCCCCCCCCAGTAAATCAGGTGTTACTGCTTCCCTTGATTTTATTGTTTTTTATTTTTGTACTTGGGAGTTAAGATTTTTATAAAATTAATACATGTAGGTAGTTGAACAAAAATCTGTACTATAAGTCTTCTAACAAAAAAGTATTCCCTTACCTGTACCCTTCTCATATTGATTCTAGCTCCCTTGAGGCAAAAACTTTCAGTTCTTCTCGTTGTTTCTTTTGCAATTTACCTGCATATTTCTTTTTTTTTTTTTAGATTTTATTTATTTGACAGAACACAGCGAGAGAGAAGGAACACAAGCAGGGGGAGTGGGAGAGGGAGAAGCAGGCTTCCTGCTGAGCAGGGAGCCCCATGCAGGGCTGGATCCCAGGCCCCTGGGATCATGACCTGAGCTGAGGGCAGACGCTTAACGACTGAGCCACCCAGGCACCCCCTACCTGCATATTTCTAAATAACATACATGTATCTCTTGATTTTTCAACTTTAGCCATTATTGATTTTCTTTTCTGCTATATTAGGATTTAGCTGTTTTACTCATATTCCTCTCTCCTCTTCCCACCCTCCTAACAGTTATGTCACAACATTTAGTTTCATTTTCTGATTGAATCTCTACAGAATCAATGTTAAAGTATTATTATTATTTTATAATTAATTATAATATAGGTGTAAAGTAATTCTATTATTATTTCTATGTAAATTATACTCATTGCTGAGCTTTAGGTGGTGCTGGGTGTACTAGTCAGCTTTTGCTGTTAGCCACATTTCAGTGGTTAGTAACTCTGTTTATTTCTTGCTCATATTTCAGAAGGGTTTTGGATCAGTCAGGCTCTGCCATGTTAGCTAGCCTTGTTTGGGCGCAGTTCATCTCAATTTCATGTATCTTCTCATTTTCATTCTGAGGTCCAGTCTCAATGGATAGACACTGTCTGGGGCAGAACTAAGGGCAGACTGAATCAGACCCCACAAAATACATTTAATTTAAAGCTTTTGCTTAGATGTAGCATGTGTCACATCTACTCACATTCCTTCGGCCAAAACAAGTCACGAGGCCAAACTCCAAGTCTGGATGGTAGGAAACCTCTTCTGACAACAGGGAAGCAATGCGCAGGTGGGAAGGAAATGAATAATTATGTAATTATGAATAATATAATCTACATGCCGTGGTACAACATTCTGTTTTTCTGAAGGCTAATCCTTACTTTTTTTGTTGTTTTTATGTTATATCTTCTATGTTTCTATCATTAATTCTTTCCTCAAATTGCCCAACAGAGGTCTTCTCTGTGCAGTCACACACATCAGGTAATCAATCCCGTACTGTTTTAGTGATGTCCCTTCTGGAGCTCTCCTTTCTTTTTCTCTAGTCTCAACTGGGTGCTCTCTGGGCCTGTTGTATAGATGTCATCCTGGGATTACGTTTTACCACTGTCTTGGGAATTCCTTTCCCTTCTCTCCCTGTTTTCTGGATCCCGGGTCTTTTATTATTTATTTCCTTGTTTAGATGAAGTGTCTCCTCCAGTAGCTTCCTTTTTTATTTATTTCCCAGTTTTGATGGAGCATTTCCTCTAGTAGCTTCCTGAGAAAGGTAAATGTTTTGAGATCTTCCGTGTTGAAAATGTTTCAATTAGAGTTTTGGGCATATTCCATATGCTCAATAAATATTTGACGAACTAATGAATGATTAAATGAATGAATAAGTAGGAGCAGTATATCATAGGGGTGCCTGGGTGGCACAGTTGGTTGAGTGTCTGACTCTTGGTTTCAGCTCAGGTTGTGATCTTGGGGTCATGAGATCGAGCCCCATGTTGGGCTCCATGCTTAGTACCGAGTCTGCTTGAGATTCTCTCTCTCCCTCTCCCTGCTCCTTCCTGCTCCTCCCTGCTCCTCTCTGCTCCTCTCTCTCCCTCTCCCTGCGTGCCCTCTCTTCCTCTCACTCTCCGATATAAATAAATAAAGCTTTAAAAAGAAAAAGAGAAGCAGTATATTATAATTGTGGTGAGCTAGACTACATAGGTTCAAATCTTAGCACTGTCACTTCCTAGCCATATGACCTTTGTCAAGTTTATTCTGTCTCAGTTTCCTTATGTATAAAACGGAGATTATCATAGTACCTGTGTCAGCATTGTTTTGAGGATTAAATCAGTTAATATATATAAAGCACTTAAATGATACCTGATGCACACATAACAAGCACTCAATAAATTTTAGCTATCTTGATTGTTTTTAATGAATAATGTGAATGAAATGTAATAATATAATGAAGAAATGAATGAAGATCACTTAACTTTTTTTTTTACGATTTCACTCATCTATTTATTTTAGAGAAAGAGAGAGAGAGTACGTGTGTGTGCAGGGGGAGGGGCACTGGGGGAGGGACAGGGATAGGCAAACTCCTCACTGGGAGCCCAGCGTGGGGCTCAATCCCACGACCCCAAGATCGTGACCCCAGCTGAAACCAAGAGGTCAGACACCCAACTGATTAAGCTACCCAGGTGCCCCGACTCTATTTTTTTATTTATTTTAAAATTTTTTAAATTTT